GTGATTCCACTGGAATAACTTCTGGAATGCCAGTGATTCCACTGGAATACAGTAACTTCTGGCCAGTGATTCCATTGGAATCACTTCTGGAATGCCAGTGATAACTGGAATTGGTGGAAAATGTTCCTCTGCAATAGGTGGTCTAACTGACATCCAAAAAACGGAAAGCAACCAAGGCGGTAGGGAGATGTTGTAAGTGCTCACTGACCGGTCCTAAGATCGACTGTCGTCTAGTAACCGATGATGGAAATCCCGTGAAACCCTGGCTGTTGCTATTGACCTACAAACTATAGTAGATGGACTGACAATATATTCAAACCCTTAAGAAAGAAGGTCTGCAGGTGTCCAGCCTCATGACTTTTGAAGTCAAAGGGGGATCTCTCAGGCGACTGTTCTGCCAGCATTAGCCCATTTCTATTCTGAGATTTGTCTTCTGAACTCTTGTCGTGCAAGCACGTGTAGTTTGAGAAAGCAGAGCTATCTTGCAAGTGTTTGATTGTTTCATCCAGCTACCAGTGAACTAGTAACTAGGAGGTTATGTCGGCCTGGGTGCCATCAAAGCAACCTTGACGCCTGCACAGCTGCCCCCGCAGCCTTCGCTTCGACACGCCTTCGCCTGCCTTCGCGTCGGTTAGAAAAGAACAACAATCCAGGCGCCAGGCCCAAGAGTATAGGTGAAGGCGAATCTCCCTGGATGACCAAACAAGGCTCGTGTCCTGGCACTCGCGGCTTGAAATTCAGCCCCGTGTGAGCATGCCTGTAGGGTGCAGGGACATGAAGCTTGAACCTTTTGCACCTCTTCTGAACTCGTAGGGAAAGGCAAGGGGAACAGGTGGCTCCTAGTTGCAGTAGGAAACCCACAGGAAAGAAAGGCAACCAAAAGCAAATACAACTACTAAGATTAGATTGCCCAAAAAGGCCAACTTGATCCATGGCCAAGGCACAGGGAGCCAAAGCTAGAGGCCTGAAGTATCAAGCCCAGGCCTTAGTCCGCAAACATTCCAATCACGACATGGCTCATCTAGTCCAGCCGGAAGGTGAGCTGAGTAGAGCCTAATCTGGGGTGGAGATGCTACGGTTCAAATCCACCAAAAAGAATCTACTGTAAATATATGTAAACCAATGAAAGCTGGACAATGTGATGAACTGCAGGCGTAGCGCCAGTGAATTTTCAGGGTTTACATGTTCAATACCACCGTTTGGATGGGTTCAGTCACATGGCCATTTATATCTGAAGGTTTCTGGTGCAGAGAACTGTTGTATATATATATATATACGATGTAGCTCAAACCAAAAGCTGAAAAATATGGATAGGTAGCGGGTCACATCTCGGTTCATCTTCAATTTGTTCACGTACCATTCACTATTTAATTCGGAGCCCTCATGCTCACATCGCGACAGCCGCTATCAACTACAAGAAGACCAGCACTTGGAGCACGACAGAAGCACGAGAGCCAGCCTGGAGCAAAGGAAGAGAAAGGTGAGCAACGGAACATCAGTCCACCTGTCCTAGGATGTCAGATCCTTTGGGTGTTACAAGGCTCCCCGAGACTTTCCACAATCAACATCATCCGTCGAGGGCTTTCCTTGAGCTTTTCTGCGGCGATGTGTCGAGTGTCCAGTCAACCTGTGGACAAAATCGGGTGAAACCAAAATAAAAAGATAGATATTAGATTTGGAGCATGTTGGGGACATCTCTAAGTGCATTGAAGTTCTTGAGCATGGTGATGTCTTGCAGCAGGTACAGTATGATGGCGCGCCTATATACATATATAATATACTGAAAATTGGTATAGATGTTTTACAAAAATATATCGACAAAGTTATATCAAATTATAGACCAATAAAGGATACTATTAGGTGTCAGCTCCAATACCTAAGAACGTCATTGAGGGAAGGTCAACAGCATTCCGCTCCGAAGGACATACTTGGGTGACCAAGTTGCTTGGTGTGGTTCTCCATTTCCGGCCACAATCAACCATCACTTCAACCATCCAACAAGTTTGGTTAAAGCCTTATGTGGGTGGGTTGCGAAAGTGCTTATGTCCACCCACTTTCAGCCAGCTGCCCATCTGCTCACATCCCGTCTGCACAGAAAAGCAAGGCTCCTGTCACACGTTGCCGCCAAGTGATGTGCGGGCAGCAGGAGGTCAAGAACTCATCTTCATCCTGGCGACACCACTGAAGAGCTCAGATGAGATATTTCCCAAGAACTGGTTGTGGAGTGCTCTTGTGTTTGTCTCCAACTCTTGAAAGGGTACAGAATACTGCATTGCTCCCGTGGTCTTCTACCATCAGGCGCCTATCTATCATTTCGCTGCCAATCAACAAGCGGCTTGGCCACCAGGAGATCTAAGTGTGACCTCACCCAGTGGAATGCTAAGTGAACCACCGCTTGTGGCAAACTTGTATCTGAACCACTGCTTAAGAATTGAGCCCAAATGTTTAAAGGAGGCACATTCTCGAAACCAAAATCCAAGTTACACCAATATAGTTATATAGATAGAAGTGGGGGTTCAATCCTGCTCCACCGGTTTCAATTGCTCCCATGCAGATCCTCCTCTTTCCGCAGGAAGCTCGGGGTCACGCTCCGGAAGACCTCGCCCAACCTGAGCTGCGTGCGACCCAGTCATGCTGGGAGCGAAGGGTGGCTCTATCGCCACATGGTTGGCAAATCGGCCGGGGGCGTCCCTGTTTGCCCAGATTTCACCGATCTCACCCCAAAGATGCTTGTTGTTGGTTTTCGTCCATGGGCTTTAAGATGTGTTCGTCCATGTTTCGTCCCAACTCGTGACCTGAAAAAAACGAATCCATCGGTGAGCCGACCTGGCAGCGTCTCGTGAAGCTCGCAACTTGGGGCCCTGAGGGTTGGCCGCACCTTCTCACGGTCGACCGTCGATGGGAGAACCGTCAATGTTTCTTCAGCTCGTCAGACGTTCACTGACGTCAAGGCATGAACATGACTGTCGTCTACTCTGACTGGCCAGGCCCCTCCTCCTGATGTGAATATATATATATATACAGTAATCCAAGGCCCATTCTCCAAAGCTTCAGAAAAAGAAGAAGGAACAAACACACCCCATTTGGAAGGTGATTCAGTGGAACATCGTTGGACCTTTGGGAGGTGAGGCTGCTCTTTTCTTCGTTGAAACGCGCCTCACTCCAACCCTCACTCCATCCCTCACTCATCCTGTCTGAGGGCCATGGCCCAACCTGCAATTCGACTGGCTCAAAGGACACGTTCGGAAAACGCACCTCGGGGACGGGACGATCCGAGCGGGACGCCGCACGCTCTCCGAGCCTACACCCTGCACCTCTGCCGTTGAACACCAAACGGCCTGACTCCCAAGACATTTGAAGAAGAAATGCACCAAAGCTGTCAAGCACCGAAACCTACAAACACACAAGTTTAAAAAAAGATCATAAAACAAACATGTTGACTCGGTCTTGGGCCCTTCTCGCTTCCAAAACTCTCCCATCATGGACTCTGACCTTCGTTGTGATGAAGTTGCCCTCGCAGCGTCCCAAATCCGGGGGCAAACCCGCGACTTCGATCCACTTCGATCCTTCGATCCGCTGAGAACCCGTGCATAGTTGGTCATTTGGGCGTGGCCACCCTGAGACCGGCGGGCGGAGTGACCAGGGGAGGTGGAAAATCATCTGCGTGACTAAGCCTGATCACAACATGGAGTCACACGCCAGTCGTTTTGACTGGTGATCTCTGATAGAGAATGACCCCAAAAAAATGATTGAACAACTATGCTTTGGGGTCTGAGCCTGGTTAGTGCCTGAACAACACCGGAAGATGGCCATCCAGCTCATTGGCCAGCAAGTCTTTGCACTGTACATGAGACAAACCCACCTGTTCAACGAAAATCCATGAAAATCCCAACATGTGCAACAGAATTTCATCAACTGGACCCCAAACTCCTGCTTCGAGAATCCCTCAAGACGGTGGAAAGACGGGAGAGAGAAAACACAAACACTTCAAACACATTTCACCTTTGAAAGGGATGCCATCAACTTCTGCAATGAACGCTATGGCAGGCTAGAATGAATGCAATGCATGATGCCAGTGGAAAGAGCGCAAACATGCCAAAAAACCCGCTGAATAGTTTGGTGTCAGGCAACTCTCACATGTGCCATGTCCCATAAGAAAAAAATATCAAATACATTCAAACACATACAGCACGATATCCTAAAATAAGTTTGCCGAAGTTCCCCCTAAGACTGCCTCATCCATCCCTTCATTTCAACTCCACTGCTCCTCCCCCCCTCCGCGGTTCGACGTCCCCGCCTGGGACGAACCCCAAGGAGCCCACAGACGCTCGGAGCCGCGGAGGCGCGATGGGCAGCGGCCGAAGAGAAAAAGAACGGCGAGCAACTGTTCAATTTCGGATATATTGTAATTGTAGAAAACATGCCCATGACACAGGCAAGGGCCTGAATGTGCGTTCTGTTCGCAATTCCCCACACATGGTAGGAATGAAGGGCCCACACCCTAAAGGAAGGTCGAAGACCACTGAGACCACTAAGATCGGAAGCAGTGCTAAATCCACCTGGCTGGCAGAAACTATGCACTTCCGACATTGTCTAATTAACCTCTGGAACTATGAAAGAAAGGGAACCACAAAGCAACAAAGTGTGCCTTATCTTGATGGCTAGTGAGAGTCCAAAGGGCACCTGAGTTTCTGTTACTGGCCTTGGTGGTTGTTGGTCAAACTTGGACACAGCAAGAACGCTACGGGAAGTAATCCGTGGGGGGTAACAGCACTCGTGTCGGACAACACACGGCCGAATCGCCGCCCAAAAATAGGGCACAACCAAAGAACCGTGCCTGCCAGTCCAGCAACTGCCGGAGGAAATTCTTAAAATCTGGAGGCTCACCATAGTGACCACACCTGGCCGTCAGCAGCGTAGTGCCGACGTCTTCAGCGCCTGATTCTGAACGACCGCTTCGGAACCATGGGAACAAAGGGAGGATGCCGAGGTGTTCTTCAGCGCTTGGCGAAAAAAGGCCTGATAAGACACAGTTGGGTGAGGCCTGTTGCAAGTGCTTGATCCCTGCCAAATATATTCTCTTGCTCCCCACAATCTACATGAGTTTTAATCATCTTTTCCAGAAACTTGACGCCGTCAAATCTGTTCACTGCTTGAAACAGGGAAAAGGGAATCCCAAGCAGCTTGACTCTGTTTCCCACACCACGAGTCGCAACGATTCGACTGCACCTGGCGAGCTCTGGTCGAGCCACACATCTGCTACGATAGGTACACTGCCTCGAGCGCGTCGTCGCCGTGCGTTCGGCGGCGCGGCTCCGCGCGACGTCGCCGTGTGCAGCGCGACTGCCGTGTGCGGACTGCGCCGGTGTGGCGGTTCGAGGTTGGCGGATTTGATGGGAGTTGGATGTTCTTCCAGTGGAGGGCATGGACCACAAGAAAGGAAAGAAGGCTGATACAGGAGGCCGTTTTAAGCAGCATACAGCATGCATGGGCACAGCGATGAGTGCACTGAGTGCACATGACGTGTTTTGGTCTATCGCGATCGCGAGCGGTCGGGTCGATCACGACCCGGATCTGGAGGAGTCTCACTGCGGAGTCTCACCGTGCGGAAGGTCCTATCTTCAGCCTTGAACAATAGCTGCTGCACTTCCGGGTGGCCATTCTGAGCTGCAGCCATCAAGGCGGTTGCCCCGTCTTGGGTTGCTACGTTCGGGTCAGCTCCAGCCTCGAGCAACACCCGCACCACTTCCAAGTGGCCA